GAGAAGATGCAAAAAGATGCTAAAGCCTCAGAGGTTCATTAGCGAAGTTCTTGCTGAGCATTAAAGTTAATTTTCCTCTTTTCCTTCATTCGGTGACTAATTTCTGTTACTGTAACTAGGAGTAAGAAAGTTTAACCCCACCAAAACATAAATTTTCACTTCCTCTTCTCCACCTCCTTCATCCACTTGAAAAAGCACTTCCCTCTCCATCCTGGCTCTAGCAAGAAAGCTCAGAACAATACTCCAGAAAGCACTCTAAAATAAGCTTTTTTTTGTTTATTAAACGTTTATAGTCACCCTTGGTATCACCATTCCCACAGGGAATGACTCAGGGTTCCCAGGAGAGCACAATCCCAGAAGAAAGGAAAATGATGTAACAGCAGGACTTCCCAAAGTTTTTTTTTTTTAATCTGGACAGAGCACCCCTCACAGCCTGGATCCCCTCTGGATTCCCAGGCCMCTGCCATGGGAAAGAGCTTTGATCCGCAGCACGGGAACGAGGATTTGAGGAAATTTGGCAGCAAGGAGGATGCAGARGCCAGGATTGTGTAACCAGAGCCCTGGCAGAGGCATCCCAAGCCTTTCAGTGACGGCTGCCTTGTCTTCCTGTGCCATCTTTCAGCTTGTCCCGCCTGCCAGGTGAGCTCCACCAGACAGGTGAGCTGCAGCACGCACACCTTGGCTGCAGGAGTGAAAAAAAAAACCAAAAAAACCAAAAAAAAAAACCCAAAGAGACAGCAGGGAGAGGAAATCCTGTCCCCACTCTGCCTCTGGTGTGATCTCCCTGGATCCCCAGCCTGCTCAGAGAGGTATTGCAGAGTTTTCAGAGCAGCTTAAAATGTTTGCTCAGGGGGTAGAAATAGAGAAATAGAGAAATAGAGAAATAGAGAAATAGAGAAATAAATAGAGAAATAGAGAAATAGAGAATTAGAAAAATAGAGGGATTTCTGAGGGGGATGAGCAGGATTCTCCCCTTCTGGCCTTTGTTTGTGGATTTTCACCGCACAGGAGGGGTCAGAATCTCTCAGCAGGTGTGGGGTCACACAGTGCCCATGCACAGACACTGAACTGTCAAAATCCTGTCCCCTCCTGTTCCTCAGGCCTGTACYCATCCCAAAAACCCCGAGCAGGCTGTGGGACAGAGCGATCCTTGTGACTCATCACAGCCACCCTTTCTCACAGTCTGCAACCCTCAATTTGCTCGGGATGAGCTGAGAGTGCTCTGCGCTCCCAGCCCGRCACTCGAGGGCAGCTTTGCTGAGCAGAGGGGACTGAACTCCTCTGAAAAAGCGGAGGATTTGCCAAAAAGTGTCAGCCCCACTCTCTGGGTGGTCTCCCATCCCCAAACCCTTCCAGCAGAAGGTGTGAGAGCCCTGCGCTTGGCAGCTCCGGGAGGATTTCCCTCCTCTGACAAGTTCTCACCCCGATCTGCGGTAATTAGAGCCTGGCCCCAGCCCTGCAATTACACAGCTCAACACCCTCCCCGAACATGGACTCGAACAAGCRCAGGAGCTCTGCCTCTCTTTTAATATTCAAATGAACGCGAATGTTGCCGAATTCCAGACGCTCGAACCGTGTTTCCAAACAACACCTACCGAGCTGCCAGGTTACAGCCAAACACCAAAAAAAAGCAGTTTATTCCCACCCAGGCTGTTGAGTGAGTTCGAAGCTCTCTAAGGCAACAGAATTTCTGTTTACAGTGTACAAACACAGGGAGAGGCGCAATTAAGGGAGTGAGAAATGGGCTTTACCTKAACGTCCTGCTGGGCTTTGAAAGGATCTCTGCTTCACTCCCTCCTTTCTTTTCCTCTGTCTCTCTCCCTGTCTTCTTGCATGGCTGGACTGACAGGTTGGCAGGGCTGAGAACGACAGGTTGGGTTTGTTTTTTTAGACACAACTCCTCCCCCTCTCAAAGAGAAGTTAAAAAAAAAAAAAAAAAAAAAAAAAAAAAAAAGGCAAGACTGTTTGGGAAAAGTTCACAGAAAACCCCGTCCTTTCAGCGCATTCAAACTGGTGGGGAAAGGGCTGCTTTGGGAAGCCCAGCAGTTCCCAATTGTTTTTCTCCAAAAGGCTCAAAGTCTGCTTTGCAAGGGGCATGGAGCAACCAAAGGATTTACCCCAGGAGCTGCTGTGACCCCAAACTTTTCCCATTTCCCTGCTGAGTGATCCAGAGGCAATTGCAGCCCCTTTAGTGCAGCTTTGACAAGAAGGGTCTCGCAAAAGTGGAAAGGGATTTTTGCAGGCAGCACAAACATCTTTGGGCCTTGGATTTTATCCTTTATCCCACCATCACTTTGTGTAATAAATGTCACCAATAGATGGCTGAAAACCTGATTTTTTCCCCCAAAATCCTGTGCTGCAGCTTGTTTTCAACTCCTGGTTTGCATGGAGAGCAGCTCAGCCTCTGCCGCTGTCACCTGAGAGGTGACAGAACCCCCGGGGGAGGTGTTGAACAGGTCACAATGACCACAGAAACGAGGGCAGATTWAAAACCTTCCACTTCCACAGGCAGAGCAGCTCCCTGGGAACGCTCTGCTGCAGTTYTGACTCGGCCTTTTCGGGAGTGCCACCCACGAGATGCAGACACTGATTTCACCCCGGGTTTGTCAATAAATTCGCAGGTTAGGGCTGTCAAATGTGAGCTCTGCCTGCTCCTAAGGCGGTGCTGCTGGAGTCTGTCCCCTCCTGGGCACGGAGCTTTGCTCCTGCTGGCCCATGGCACAAATGTCTGCTGAGAAATGCCAGGAAAGAGCAGCCAAGGCGTTGGTGAGCGGTGATGAAGCAGCTTCACCCTCCCACTGCCCTGCAATCTCCAAAAGAATCGRCAGTCGGGCGTTTTTCATTCCCTAAAGCTGTTTAAGTTGGTATTTTGGGCTCAAATCTTCATTTTCCAGAGCTGTTCTCTGCAGTGTGGTCGCCTCTGTTCCAAGCAAGCAGAAAAACAAACATGCAGTAGGCTAATGAGAGTYATCTACATAAATTTGCATCACAGACTGCTTGAAGAGAATCCCATCTCCTCTGGGTCCGCTTTGCAGCTGGGCTGTAACAATGAAATTTCGGAGGCTTCCTTTACCTGCGTCCCTGCTGCTGCTGTGGCTCTGCAGAGCCAAAAACCTTCTAAAACTTGAAAAAAAAAAAAAAAAACCAAAAAAAAAAAAAAAAAAAAAAAAAAAAAAAAAAAAAAAAACCAAAACAAAAAAAAAACACCAACTCAGCCAGTTTAATTTAACTTTGTAGTGAGTTAGATTAGAGGTGAAATCAGTGGGTTTTGGTGTGACATCACATCCAAAAATGTCTAGTTCCACTTCTTGCAAGCTCAGCTTTATCTCCCGCGCCGGGGGAGGGCCACACATCCATCTCCTCCATCTCTTCCATCTCTTCCAGGGCTGATTTCCACCCCTCCTGCCTCCCCCAGAACGCATTTGCTGCTCTTTTATCAGGCAACTGTTCTCAATTGCGCTCAGATCGGCGCAGCGATAACACCAAAACCTTTCCTGCCGGTGGAACGGAGCTCCCCGAATACAAAACCGGGCAAAGTTCAGCGCTAATGGATCGTGGATTCCTGCTGAGAGGAGCGAGGAGCTGCTCTTTAGGTTACAGCACGGTCAGAGCCTGGGTTCCTGTCTGAATTTCCAGTGCAGATGGATGGGGATAAGAATTCAGGGGCATTCAGCGCACCCCGGGGTCAGCTCTGCTGTGTCTGAGGGGGATTTATCAGCAGAGATGCGGCTGCAGCTTCTCTGGGCACTGATTTAGAGGAGTTTTYTCAGCCCTCCCTCCTCAGCACCTCAGGTTGGAGGTCCAGATCCTTCAGAATCTTGCAGAATCTTCAAGATTTTTAAGCAAAGGGGTTTATTCTCTTTATTAATTCAAGTGACCCACCCTGACACCCAAAAATCCCAACAAAAGCATGCTGAGCACGATGCTTTTACTTTACTTCTGCCATTTTTACCCCACATAAGAATTCTGGAGAGGGAGAGGAGCTGAACAGCATCACAAGGAGAGAAAAATCCATTTTTTCCAGCCTTGAAGGGTGACATGTGACAGCCAAGGCTGTGTCCACCCCAAGGTTCAAGGGTGAATTTTCAGCCAAGAGCCCTCAATTCTCAGCAAACACCGCTGCTGTCGGAGCTTAAAAGCAGTCAATAAAGGCGCTTCATTCAGTCGAGCACTCCTCGGGTGAGGTCAGATTTCCCGTTTTTCCTGTTTAACCAGCAGGTTTCGAGACAGCCTCATAATGAACCCTGGGAGCACAGCTCGTTTCAGCATCGGGAGCGTTGCAAAATCGCACCCAGCTCGGGGTTGTTATGTTCTGGGTCTTGCACTCCCCAAAAAAAAAAAAAAAAAAAAAAAGACAAATAGGAAGGAACAAGTCTCATAATGTAGGAATTTAATCCCAAATTGCCTCAATGCCAGTGATGAGGTTCCCGTGGTTTTCAGTTGGTTGTGGATCACCACAGCTCAGATAAATCCCGTTTTTGTGTCAGATTGGTGTTTCCCATTGATTTCTGAGTGGGTCTGCATGCCCTGATTCCCTRTCCTGCCTCAAAAACTTCTCCCTCGATGCCTGCAAACATTCCTTGTCTCCACCAAGAAACCTCCAGGTTTCTTGGGCAGGTCCAGCTGAGCAGATCCAACCAGAGCCATCCATGCATTGCAAAGGAAAAAAAGGAGGAAAACCCTTTTTTTTTCTGGGAAAAAAACCCCAGCTAATCTAACTGGAGTAATCTATGCATTGCAAAGGAAAAAAAAAGTTGAAAAAACCCTTTTTTTTCTGGGAAAAACCCAGCAAATCCAACCAGAGCCATCCATGCATTGCAAAGGAAAAAAAAAAAGGGGGAAAAATGCTTTTTGCTGGGGAAAAACCCAACAGATCCAACTGGAGCCATCTATGCATTGCTAAGGAAAAAAAAAAGGGGAAAAAACTCACATTTCAATTCCCARCCTTTCTCCTTTGGGATTGTGGATCCCTCAGTCCACCCTGCAGTGGCCACAGACCCACCTCCATCCCCTCAAACCCTGGCAAACTCCTGCAGAACCCTTTGTGCAATCTAACCAAGGCTGGTGCTCTAAATTTCCACCCATTCCAAGTTCAAACTTTTCATTCCACATAAACTACAAATGCTGAATGTTTGATGGAGCAGGGAGAAGGTCCCTGTGGAGAAGAACCACAAAAGTGAGGGACCTTCAGCACTTCCAGAGTGGTGATCCCATGAAAATCAGCACAAAARTCCCCATCAGGAATCCCAGAAAAGCCACATGGGTGTCACAGAGCCCCYAGCACATCTGAGAGTTTGTTGGGAATGACAAGAGGGAATTGGAAATTTTGTTACACAGGGACTGAATAACCCACCAAGAAATCAGCTGGCCAGCGTGGAAATAATTCAGAATAAGCAGAGCCCTCAGGTATTACATTAACGGGGTCTCCAGGGAAGGATGTGGATTATTGCAGCTGAACAGAGCCYTTATTTATCAGATGGAAAAGGTTAATGTCATTTCCTTTCCTTTCCTCCCTGGTTCTCCTCACCCCAGCCCCGTTCCTGGCGAGCAGGAGGTGCAGACAGTGTAAGAACACGTGCTGGATTGTTTAAATCACCAGAGCTGTTACTCCAGGCAGGGAGGGGGGTAAGAAATTAAGATTTCTGCTGGTTTCCTGGGGAGAATTACAGKGCTAGGAAACATAAAACACCCAGGGAAGGAAATGGGTTGTGGAGCACCTGGTCTTTGATTTGACATCCAAGAGCACAAACTCCAGGAGGGAATTTGTGCATTCCCATCTACCGTGGTGCCTAACAAGGACCAGGATCAAACTAATCTAATATTCCTATTCCATACTTTATAAAGCATGAGTGCATTAAGAAAAGTATTTTTTTAAAACTCCTTAATGAGGTTTAAATACAGTTAAATTAAGTTCTGCTAATAAAGAGCCTGTGCTTTTTTCTAATTTGCCTCTGGAGTCTTGAGAGCTGTTGACCTAAAGATAAATGTCAGAGCAGCCCAGCCATCTATTATGTGCCCTGCTAATGATGTCAACAAGTTAATTCTAATGTCAACTAAGGAGAAAAATTCCATTTCAGGACTTAGCTTGGCCTAAGAGGAAAAAAAAAAAAAATTTTTGTGGTAAAAGGCTCAAGACACCCAGGTTGATTTTCCTGTTTCTGGCACAGGATATTTTTGAATAATCCATGTAGGGAATATTTTCCTTTGGTAACTGAGATGGACCCAAACCCTGCTGTCTGTTCATGAGAAGGAKAAACCCTTCTGACCCTTTGGGGATTGAATCCAGGTGCTGGCTCCCTGTCTGTCTGTGGAGAAGGACCAGTGTGGCATTTGGGTTTGGCTTCACCCAAAGCTGGGTTTGACCACAGCTTTCTTTCCCCTTTCCTTTTCTGCAGGGTCTGCAGGACATCTCCTGCACCTTCTCCTTGCCTTGCCATAGGTCAGGGATGGTTTGAGCTCCTCACCACCCTCTTGTTTCCAGAGCCATCAGCAGAACTCCATCCCATTCCTGAAAGGCACCTGAATGTGGCTGTTTGTGACTGCTCAAAAATACAAAATGTGAAATTGTGTCTCAGTCTCCAGTCCGCAGCTGCCTCCCTGCCCCATCTCCACGCTGGATAAAACTCAGACGTGCTCCTTTCCCCTCTCCACTGCCCATGGGAACAAATCCAGACCGAWGGGACAGTGAGGATCAGGACATCTGGGTGATCCTGAGGTCACCTCTCTGTCCCCAGCTTTCCATCCGTGACCTGAGTCAGTGGCTTTACCTTACCTTGCCGAGGTGCCTTGAGGACAAAAAAAATCCATATTTCATGGCCTGRCAGCGGGGCTGGCTAATTCCAGCTCTGAAGGAA